AATTAATAATGCTTATATGTATATCATATATCTAAATATATTTTTTTCCTCAATTTCTTCTCTAATCTTTTAAGCAATTCCAAAATACGAAAATAATATAAATATGTATAAACAAAAATTATATATCTGTGCATACATATATTAACTTCAATTGCATTAATTTATATATAATAAATATATATAAAATTAGACGTAATGTAATAATTATAATACCTTTATGTACGTAAATTTAAACATAAATTTATATATGTAAAAGACGTAATAGGATTAGTGCAAGAATTAAAAAATCGTATATAAAATTAGATCTAGGCAAAATCAGCTGGTTTTCTCATATATTGTAGCTTATAACCTGCTGAAAAAGAACGTAAAAGGCTCAAGGCAAATAATAAACGGTTACTGATTTATAGCCAGCCGAATATGAAAAACTCGCGCCGCGAGTACTGTTTGATTGGCTGTAGATCAGTAACTGCCCATTATTTAGCTTCGAGCCTGATACATCTTTTGTTCAGCAGATCATGTGAAAGTACCAAAACTAATTTCACCGTTCTCAATTTCATATAAGATTAGCGCGGCGTTCCTTTCAATCCAAATCTTGAATTCTCAATTTATGTTCTTTTTATCACTTTAATTTTATAAGGTATTGGAGTCAACTGGCAGTATGATCTTTATATTATTGTCAAGTTTAACTTTTTTTAATAATGTCATTCTTCTTGAATTATTTTAAAGCTCCTATTAAGAAAAAAAAACGATTTTGTAAGTGTGTAACAAGACATCATTCAAATAGATGACACGCAACATTTTCATCCCATTTCCTTCTTTGATCATTATTATTATTAGATGCGCAATTATTGAACAATAATTTCTCGTAGATTAATAAAAACTTTTCTCTCTTTTACATACACACACATACATAAATCGAAAATTTCACGAAATTGTAGTAAAATTATCATTATATAAAGAAGATACTTGACTTTTGGTAGGATCATGATTTTTACAGTAGATTCCATCATCAGAACTGCTTTTCAACATATTTTTAATATTATTATTCTAGAGATTACCATACAAAAATAAAAAAATCACATATTTTAAGTTAGAACTTACTATATATTATTTAGACCTTAAATTTGCATCATACACATCTTACAAATAGTATTGTAACTCCGCTTTGTGCATTAAATTATTATTTATCCACCAATTCATATTGATTATCCACTTATAATAATGACCTCATAGTAAACGACATTGATGCAATTATTAGAGTATAATACATTAAAAAATATACACGTTTATGAATAAAATATTATTTATTATTCTGAACATATATACGCTCACAATTTGTCTAATAAATGAATTTGGAAAATTATAAGGAAGCACACTGTAATTAATATATATGCTAGCAAATAAAAAATTTTCAGAAGTATATGATTTTGCAAAGATGCACAGATATTTCAATTTGTGCTTATTTGCACAGATATGTCGTTTGCGAGATGTTATTCACGAACTTTCTGGCACTTCGTACCACATGCACCATCAAAATCGATAGCAATATATTTTGCTATAACAATAATATTCAACTTATTTAACATAAATGCATGCACGATTAAAAAGATCTTTCTATAAAAATGATAAAATATTCAAAAAAGATCATTGATGACATGACATTATCGGCTGTAATAAAAATGTCATTTCCGCATACAATATATGCAACTGCTTTTACATCACTATCGTTATTGTAAATTTCATACTCTTTTGCTACTATAAATATTTATTTCTCCTTTCTTTATATAATAGGAACGTTTTCAGTTTGCTTTTTATATCGTACGAACGAATCTTGTATTTATATTACGTATTCAAGATATTAAAAATATATTTTGCTTTTGTGTATGTAATATATATATGTATGAGACAAATAGATATTAAAATCATAAAATTACATATAAATTTAAACCTAAATTACTCAAAAATTTAAATTTAAATTTAATTATGTGAGACGAGAAAAGGCTTTGAGAAGCAAATTGCGTATATTAACATTTGTTATATAATTTGTGAGATACTTAATGCCAGATTGAAACATGACTCTTATAACTTAGAACAAAAAATTATTTTATAACAAAGAGTATATATAGAAAATTATTAAAAAGTCGTGAGTCACCAAAAGTACAAATATCTTTTCAAAAGTAAAAGAAATAGTAGGTAAATAAGTATAAAAAATTAGTCAGTAAGTAAAAATAGTAAACAAGTATAAAAATTAGTCAGTAAATTATAAAAAATTTATCAGTCGGTCAGAATATAAAATGTGTCTTATATAAATTGTTTGATTTAACTATTGATGGACGTCTCAAACGATTCCTCATGACAAAATCAAAATCTATCATCCACAAAACCTTTTAGCCTCCGTTCTACTTCATCTTCTTTATAGAGATAGCTACCCCTTCATGCATCTTAAATGACAATAGAAGTTTAGTCGTGTTATTTTACCATTTATATTTTAAAATGTATATTATTTTGAAGTCTTTCGATTTTCTTTACAAATATACATGTATGTATTTTTTTTTATTTGAAAATTTATATTTCTCGAGTAGTTGCATTTCGAAGTTTTAAAATATTAAAATAAACTTATAATTATATTAAAAATTAAAAATCAACTACTTAGAAAACATTTTAAGTAGCAAAAAAATTTGAGTTTTGTTTTAAAATAAAAATTAAATTTCAAAAATTTTAGAGTATAATAATGTGTTGTAAATGATTAAATATTAATTTTTAATATCTAAAACTTTCAAATATATGTGTACACAATTTTTGGAAAAATATAATCAAAAACCAATTTTGAAGAATATATCGAAAAGACATCAAAATAATATCACTCTCTCTCTCTCCCTCTCTCGCTCTCTCTCTCTCTCTCTCTTGACTCTATTTCCATTTAAATTTAATTATCATCTATGAAAAGCATAAAGTAGCATAGTTGAATTTATTATATGTCTCGAAAATATAATAGATTTACTTTATCATTCTTCGCAAAAATCAGTTGGCCACAAGCAAGCTATTGTGATGACAAAATCTCAAATATGTAAATACATTTCTTTTTAATAATTTTTTCTGAAATAAAATTTTAAACAATTCACGACAAAAATGTGACCCTAACGTAGAATCACTATATGATACATTTGTGCAGAATTTGAATAAATGTAGTATTTCTGCGATTCGTCCGTACGAATTGCCGCGTATTAACACAAGTTAGTTGGGTTACGATTGTGGGTTCGCGATGGTGCATAAGGCTAAAATGAGTCCGACTCTCTCTCGCTCGCCGCTTTGTACGCACGCACGTGTGGCAAAATAAAAATGACTGTTGACATGGAATTTTGGGTTTTGCTCTGCACCTCCGTCGTCGTATCTTCCTGTAGGAGACGGAACTGAGGTGACGCCTGCGAAATGCAACCCACGAAAGTGCAGAGATAATGTTCGCTAATTATTCCAATAGTCTGTCAAATTCTTAGAAAGTTATATCCTGTTTTCGACGAAAAAACGCAAAAAAATTATTATATAAATATAGATACCCACACGCAAATAAATGCACAGACTATTATGTTAATAATAACTACAGATGTAACATGCATTCGTCTTTCTGATGTCGAAAGGCCTCATTACACGTCAAAATGACGTCATTTTAACATGTGTATATATATATATATATATATATATATATATATATATATATTTAAATATATATATTTAATATATATGTTAAATATAAATATATATGTATATTAAATATAAATGTATAGATACATTAAATATATATATATATATATATATATGTATATATATATATATATATATATATATATTATAAATATATTATATATATATATATATATATATATATATTTAAAAATGTGTTATTTGAAAACGTTTTGATTTTCTTTACAAATATACATATAAGTAATTATTTATTTAATTTTAAATTTCATTGTTTTTCAAGTATTTGCATTTCAAAGTTTTAGGATATTAAAATAAAATTATAAATATGTTAAAAATTAAAACTCAGCAATTTAGAAATCAATTTAGACACTAAAAAATTTTAGTTTAGTTTTAAATTAAAAGACTAACTTTAAACAATTTTAGAGAATAATGTGTTATAAATTATTAATTACTAATATCTAAAACTTCCAAATATATGTACACAATTTTTGACATCAATTTGTTACTTAAGAATAGAATACACACTATATATTATATATATATATATATATATATATATATATATATATACACATGTTTATGCATATAATACGTATGTGTGTGTGTATTTTATTATTGCATTAACATTATTATATATTATTAGTAGTCTGTGCATTTTTCACAAATTATAATAATACAGAAACTTTTTCTTTTCCAAAACAGTTTGGAATCAATATACATTGTACATATCGTTTTCTAATGAACTAAAATTGAGAAAGAAAATTGTTTAAAAATATCTAATCTACTCCAAGAACAATATACATAATATACATAAAATCACAGCAAACACCGATATATAATTGTTACATTGCTATAATAAAAAGGAATATAACAGGTAATATAACATGTAACATCCATGTTAGTTATACTTTCCCACTCATAGATGTAACATTGTAATATAACATATATTACATTGTAGTTATATTGTAATTATATACCAAATAGCACATTGATGTATTGATAAGTCAGTGCTATCTTTGGATATAATGAAAATATAAATACAATGTAATATATGTAATATTAAAAATGTTACATCTATGAGTGGGAAATTACAAATAACATATACGTTACATGTAACATGCTTAAGTATATAACATTTATATATTGTGTTTGCTAGGATAATATGCATACATATATATGTATGTATGTATGTATGTACGTATATTTTTTAGAACAGATTGAATTTCTTAAAATAAATTTTCGTCAAATTTAGTTTGTCATTTATACAATAAAACCTTAAATAAATATTATTACAAGTTGATAAAAAAATGTTCCGAAAGAAATTCGCGCTTTCTAAATGTTATAACTACAAAAGCAAGTAAATCGTATTTAATCTTTGTAACGATATAAGTACACACTTGTATTTATAAGTATATATAATGCAAGATACCATATAAAGCCAGGAAATATGTTGGAAGTTCTGGTAGAAAATTGCATAAGTCATTCCGCTTTTGTGGGAGTACGGGATGAAGCAACTTCAGAAATAAATTTTTTAAAATAATCAACATATTTATATTGGTTATGTTCTTCATTGACTTTTTCTATAATGTCCCATCTCTCGCATAACTTCAATTTCAAAGAATAAGGGAAGGCCTTACAATGATATAATTCATTAGTAGTAAAAATTTTTTCTTCTGGATTTTCTATATTAAACAAATTTTTAACTGTATTGCGCATTTTAAATAAATCTTTCTTCATTATCTCGAGACATATTAGAGAGGTCAAATCTGAATCGAATCTAGGAAGAACTGAAGCAATCAGGTCGCACCAAATCATTCTTTTCCTTATAGTAGGTAATACAAAGTCAGCAGATTTACACAAGTTTGAAGATGGTATTTTCATTGATGCATTAGTGCATGCCACCCCTATGCTTGGAAAGGAATGTAATACATGATAAAAGGTAATCGGAGAATACGGAATTAACTGATCTATCACTTCATCCAATAAAAGTACATATTTGTCCATCATCATATTAATTAATTCATCTATTCCGGGCAAAATTCTATATTGCGGTTCAAAACAATATAAATAACATATAATGATGACATCGTTGACGAGAGACATATTAGAAGTAAACGTATACGTATCCATATACGTACGATCTGTATCATGTATCTTGTACGTATAATGAATACTTCTTACAGGATTAAGTTCAGCAGAAGAATGCATATATTGTAGATATTTAATAACTCGTTTTGGTCTACAGGTACTAATAATACAGTTCGGTAAGGGGAGAATTATGTTATCCGGAAATTCTTCCAAACAATCAATCTCGACAATAAATTTCTGCTCCTTCTTTAACATGTTTATCATTGGCATTAACATGCTATCCTTATCCTCGATATCAATATCTGGCATGTTGTTTGAGTCTACTGGTGTAACCTGTTACGAATTTTAAATGTTCCTCTTTTTAAATATCTTAATGAGTATATCGACTAAATGCATGCACAATTTAGCGCGTTCAAAATATATAATAATATGTATATGAGTTTAATAAAATTATTGACACAATCTACCTATTGCATAATAATATTATACGTAATCATTTTGTTCACTTGCAATTTTGAAAAGCTATAATAGAATGATACGCGCGAGAAAGATATATATATTTTAAAATAGATTTAATTATTTCTTTTTAAATTATATAAGACATGCGTTTCAAAAAATCGATAATAAGAGCACTATCTCACATAACATACTTGATATTATTGTTACGCAGAAATTCAAAAAGTTTCTCTGATTCCGGAAAGTGTGTCAGCTTCTTTGCGAGGCACAACTTCTTCTAACATTAACACTTAAAATGTATCAGATAATAAAATATTAGCAAAAAAACGAATATACAGGGTTTAACCACAAAGGTTTATAAACAAATGTATAAACACAGGTCTATAAACATAGATATAAAATTGTAAACATATATACATTTATACATATAATATACACAATATAATTTTACACAATTTATCAATTAATATTTATAAGCACTAATAGAAATAATAAATATATATATATATATTTGTGTATAAATGAAAAATCATGCATAATTTATACACTATTTAACAGTTTAATTAAATTTAATTATTTTTTAAAGAAAAATTTGAAACTTATATCTCTTAAATTTGTCGATATATATATATATATATATATTATACATATAATTTTACACATAATTTTTAAATTAATATTTATAAGCATATGAATGAAAACTAAATATGTGGTTCTTAGTTTTTTAATCTATTTAATATATGTATATACATTTTAAGTGTCTTAATTATATATATCGAAAAATTTAGAAGATAAAAGTTTTAAATTTTAATAAAATAATTTAATAATTAATAAAATAATTAAATTTAATTAAATAGTGTATAAATTATGCATAATTTTTTGTTTTTGGAAGTTCAAAATTAGTATCAGATAGTATTTTGAATTGAAACAAAGAGTACATATTTTTTCCTTTGTTTAATGTTGCTTGAGAATTAAATAAAATGTTTTATAGGGATATGTTAATATATTTTTTTATTGTAATTTCTTGTAGAAGATACTGGCAAAATAATTGTTTAAGTTTGGGACATTTTGCACACACACACACAGAAGGTATTTGGAGCGAAATCGACTAACAATGTGTTCACAAAACATAGTAAAATATATAGCTATATATCTTTTGCATATTAACATAAAAAATTCAGAATATTTTAAACTGAACAATAAATACATTCAATATTTTAACAATTAGAATGTGATAAAAGTTACCAATTGTATACGAAATAAATGGAACTATTTAGTGATCGGATAAATAATATCTTAAGATAAAGCAGAACAGCCAATAGAGAATATGTTAAATAAATAGTAAGTTAAATAGAAGTATAATTATAATAAAAATAAAATTTGTCTTATGAATATAATTAATCAAATGGCCACATAATTAATATCACAGTTATAATAATGACAAATTAAGCGTAAGTTTTTTGTCACAAAACAGTACAATTTATCCAACAAATAAAAGTAACAAGTAATATAACAAATGTTACACCCTATTTGTATATTGTGAGTATATTATTGTATAATATATTTTATGCATACAATATATAATTGTATTCGTATATAATATATAATCGTTTTTAAATTATTATATTGCATTTTTTCTCATCTGCATTTTATTTTTAAAAAATTTTCTATTTTGAATTATTATTTAAATTATTTATATAATTTATTAATATAAGTTCCGCATAAATACAGAATGTCCAATAATAAACGCCGAAATAAAAAATCCGCATTATTATCCCCAGTTCATATTAAACATGATTTTGTAACGTGAAAATGATGCATTTTTCGATATATATTTATATAATGTTTTTTGCTCATTTCAATGAATAAAATGCGCTTTTATAACAGCAGTCCATATTTTGTTACACTCTGTATATTAACGTCTATAATGGAAAAATTAAAATTATCGGTATTATCAACAATTGTAGTTACGTTTAGAGGAGAGCGTTATTTCGTTACAATATCCTTCATATTGGTTTTCGTTTATTATTTATGTATATGCTTCGTATATTGTAGTATTTTAAGTTTCTTACTAAATTTTATAAATTTCAATCATAATTTTTCTCACATACTTATTATCATATCGTTACACCAAAGTTATAATCTTTCGAAAACCAGAATTATTATTTGTTAATGATACATAAGATTTTGAATAGAACAATTATTCAACAATTTAAATAAAAAAAATTTTTTCTTTGTCTAATAACTGAAAAAAATAAAAAACTGTATTTAGAACTATATAATAAAAAGAAAAAGAAAATTTTTTTTCTATTACTCTTTCCCTAAAAAAGGCCCTTTGCTGCTGCACAAAAGACTCTCTGAGAATGTATAAATAATTATACATATATTCCTCAGATTTAATTACCAATCTTAATTATTTCAGAAAAGCGCTGTTTCCCTTTGTTCAGCTATTTTACTTAATAATGGAAAATATATTATATTTTGCATAATTAATCTTAATTAATAATGCTTATATGTAGATCATATATCTAAATATATTTTTTTCCTCAATTTCTTCTCTAATCTTTTAAGCAATTCCAAAATACGAAAAAATATAAATATGTATAAACAAAATTATATATCTGTGCATACATATATAACTTCAATTGCATTAATTTATATATATATAATATATATATAAAATTAGTCGTAATGTAATATTTATAATATCTTTATGTACGTAAATTTAAACATAAATTTATATATGTAAAAGACGTAATAGGATTAGTGCAAGAATTAAAAAATCGTATATAAAATTAGATCTTGGCAAAGTCAGCTGGTTTTCTGATATATTGTAGCTTATACCCTGCTGAAAATAACGTAAAGACTCAATGCTAAATAATAAACGGTTACTGATTTATAGCCAGCCGAATATGAAAAACTCGTGCCGCGAGTACTGTTTGACTGGCTGTAGATCAGTAACTGCCCATTATTTAGCTTCGAGCTGATACATCTTTTGTTCAGCAGATCATGTGAAAGTACCAAAACTAATTTCACCGTTCTCAATTTCATATAAGATTAGCGCGGCGTTCCTTTGAATCCAAATCTTGAATTCTCAATTTATGTCTTTTTATCACTTTAATTTTTATAAGATATTGGAGTCACCTGGCAGTATGATCTTTATATTATTGTCTAGTCTAACTTTTTTTAATAATAATATTAATAGTAGATATCTTGTATCGCCAGTGATGAATAAATTAAAAATAAATGTAGACGACCCAACTGGCTTAAATTAATTCTTATTATTATTTGTTTGATGCCATGTACAAGAAAAGACAACGTTTCGACCTTAGGTTTAGGTCCTATCAAGTCTAAAATTACATTAAAAAATACAATAGATGTACATACAAGAATTTTGATTTTTAAGAAATTAAGCGCAAACCAAGATTATAATACCAATTTAAAACGTACCTTATAAATTCTTAAGTGCAATATATAATAATATTTTGTTCCATTTTACATATTTCAATATAAATATTGTGTCACGTAAACGTTCGGATGGATGGTAAAGACGAACTAAGTTAAACAGCTTGATTATTCTATCATAGATCGGATTCAAATTCTCTGTGTCTTTCTGTAGGTTGATCGTGTTATTAAATTTTTTTATAAAAAACATTTCAGCAATCTCTCTTTCCTAGTGTTTGTTTCTCGATGTAAAATATTTTAAGTTGTCCATTAAAGTCATGCGAAAATCATTTCTATGTTTGCTTAATAACATTTTGATTGCTGACATGCATTTTTATATTATTCAATATTTTCTTTAATCCGAGTATTAAGGTGTCTTTTATTGTTTGTCCGATGTATGTGGCGTCACAGTCATTGCAGTCGACTTTATAAACTAAACTCTCGGTCATATCGCTTTATGGTAATTTGTCTTTTCGGGTTTAATAAACGTATCAAGTTTTTTGGAATCGTATAAATAACACTTAAGCCTGTTTTCTTAATAGATCTCTCAATAGTCTCACTTAGGTTCTTAACATACGGCATTAAAATACAAGACGAAATATCAAAATACATAATTTTTGTCAACTACATTATGAGAATTTTCTAAAAACATTTTCGTTTATACATATATCGCTCGATGACCGTCCTAGGGAAACAATTATTTCAACAAGATTTTTTTAACCATCTGTAAGTTCTCATTATGAAATCGTTTATCCGATAACAAAAATAGCGTGGTCGACTAAGTTATTAATCGTGTTAACTTTGTATTTAAACGGATGGTTAGAATGGTAAGTTTAAATTCTACCAGAGAAGGTGGGTTTCTGGTACCAACTAGTCAATAGTTTGGCCATTGTTTCTAAAAACCAATGTATCCAGAAAGTTACTCTTGTTATTTA